TTGACTGCATTGCCCTTCGAAGCCAGGTTTGGAGATCTTAACTTTGGGGCGCTGATTGTCGACACAGCCCCGTCGTCAGCTGTACTTTGTAGTTCACTTGGCCCTTGGGATGCAACCACCGGCGGGCGTGTCAACATCGCGATGTCCTGCTTAGAGTGATTTTGTTGACGAGCGCCAACTCTAACGTGCCTCCGGATGGTCGCGAAAACCTTCCCGTAGCAGATAGCGATTACCGTTAACACTGCGCAAAAACCCAACAGCAAAGTCACATTGCCCGATGTGTTTTTACAAGACGCTTCATGAGATTCATCAAATCGATTCAAGAATTCTTGTACACTAGCGATTATCGCCAGTCCCATGGCAACAAGAGCTGCTATCTTTGCCCGCCGAGAGGTGAAAAGTCGCCTCTGTGGACGGCAGATACAGTCGTAGCGGTCCACTGCTATGATGGTAGTAATTATCACCGAAAAACAGATAAGAGTTTGTTGAAACGGCCTGCTTTTGTCATAAACCTGTTGGACGTCGACTTTAGCCAAAAGTAGGAGTATAACTACAATAATAAACAGTCTGAGTACGCAGACAGAAAGATCGGCCCAAGCTAACGCCATGATTAATATGTCGGTGCTGGCCTTACGGATCTTATTCCAGTAGACACGGAGGATAAGGCAGTTACCAGGCACGCCGACCAGCACGACAATAATGCTGATCACCAGTTCCGTGATGGGCAGGAAAGTGTCGAGGTTGTCGCTGGCGTTCTGAAGCTCGCCGGTGAAATTCGATGATGGAATATTCTCCATTGTCTTGATTTGTTTCAAATTGGCGGCGTTAGTAAAGTCTTGCATTCAAGTGCAAAAGCCAGAATTGAAAAATAAAGACCACAATCAACAGGTTACAGAAGTATAGGAATTTAATCTCAAATGACCCAAAGCAATGCTTTCAATGTGTGATCCAACATTCGAAAACCGATTCCCACTGCTACCAAGCGCGTAAAGGTTAATCGAGGCTTATTTCATTGCCGCCACCAATTCCCAAGAGTAGCACGGACGGGTAACCATGGTAGCAGAACAATACTACTCGCCCTTCGCATTTCATGAGTGAGGAAGTTAATTATGAACATCGACGAATTATTCATGTCAGGAAATGGAAAAATGTATGATTGATTATGTGTGGGTTATCTTGCATTTCTTATTCTGCTCCCCTCGTTCCCGGGATATTTTCCAACCTTATGCAACCCAAATTGAACTATCTGTGGTATGCAATGGTGGAGGTCATGATGTTTACCTCACTTCCTAACCCAGTCCATTGTTTTAGGGGAACTTTCCCACAGTACCGACCAAGTATTTTTAGAAACAGATTGTCAGTTTTCATTGTTTGGGAGATTCATCAAACTGGAGGTTGCAGGTTGTTGGAACATGGAAGAAAATCCGCTGATCCTGCTGAGTAGCAGAGTTACACAATGAACCTTCAAAGATTTGACCAATGGGGAAGCTTATATGCAAATCAAACTTTTAGGAAGACCACTGGTCAACAGCCCAACACTCGAGTCTACACAGTAGCCATATGGGCTCAAGTGGCATCTGTGTTAAATTGTGTCGAGGCAGATGTAGCCAGTAGTAGGAGAGATGCCAAGTTAGCATATCCAGGGGTCCGTCCGTCCTTCGGTCTGTCTGTTTGTCGACCCATCAGATTGGTCCGTCTACCCGTAGACCATCCAATCAGCCTGTTAACCCTATTTTATTGAGGAGAGCTTCAATAAAGATTTCGTCAGTTGTAGAGACAGTGTCGTCGTCCGTTAATCGCGGTCGTATCAGTGAGAACCTTGCGCTTGCGGCGCAGAAACCTACCCGGCAGCCGACCGAATAATATGACATTCAGTATGCAGAAGGTAATGAGCTTCGGGTCTAGACAACTGTCGGGAGCCTATGAGAAATTGGAGGTGATACGAAGTTGTAGCTGTGGGCTGCACAAGTCGTCGAGAAATAACTGCACAAGAGGAAAGTCGCATGTTGACAAGTTTTGCGATGTTAAGTTTAACCGCACTTATCTATAACACCCAATAATGAGGGAAATAACAATGCTGATTTCGATGCCTTTTTTTTGGTTAAAGAAGTCTACATGTCCACATTCCGACTCAAAAATATGCAAAAATGCAATGGACCAAATCTGAAATCCGCATACCATGTAAAATTGTAGTATTGGAAATAATTTTTCACCGAATCACAGGCATTATAGCTTTAACCAATCCTTTGTTTGGTTAACACTGGTAACCAAATGGAAGGAGTTTAATGTGTCCGTCTTCAAGATACTGGATAATCACTCTGGCGGTATGAGGTTGTGCACCGACATATTGAAACAAGGTTATTTTGGGTGTCCATTCAGAAATGACTTCGCTACTGAATTTTATATCCCGGTATCTCTGCGCATTGAGGATACCAGTGATGACTAGCAGATCAGTACGGTTATTTGCTGGGATCACCCCATCTGTCGTGCTTTACGGCCTTACGGTTAAGGAATCGTTCACCGTGACGACCATAAACTCGAGCTCTTCCATTTACAGTTGGTTCCACATTCTCTCTGCCCAGTCACGGTATCCGCGGAACCATGCTCACCTTATGCCAACGACAATCCGTCGTCAGTGAGGGAACCCACGGGCGTCGCCATGCAGAAGGGGGCAAAATCATGGCCTGCTGGCAAATTTAAAAAAAACGAATAACGGAGAATGAAGATGAAAGGAAGGGGGTAACACTCGTTTTGCGTGACGGTCCGTCGGCAAATTCCATGTGGCACCCCCCCATTCAAAATGGTCTAGCAACGCCCGTGGAGGGCCCCTGCGTCTGCTCCGTAGTTTCTGCTTTGCGGCGCCGATGTTGCGTAATGATGTACCGATCTTGATTGGGCGTCGCCATGCCAGGTCTACCGCTTCTTGGATTAGCTGATACACACTCAGTCGTGGCATTTCTGTCTTTGGTCCGTTTGAAAAAAAATCGGTTCTGGACTTCAAGAACAATTATCTATCACAAGAACATCTCTCAAAGCAAAACAAGCGATTCATTGAAAATTTGTCACACCATTTTCGGGTTCAGAGAAGCTTATCACCCAAGAACTATTCTTGAAAATACAGTTATCCACAATGGTATTATAACTATTTAAAATTCATCACAAGAGTATTTGATATAGAGACTAAAAAACGTATTCTAGGAGCTTGCGTTACCTTTTTGACCGAACTGCGTATCTGGTTTACTCATAGAGCTATATATAAAAATTTACATGTTTTAATATATTTTATATATAGCTCTATGGCATACTGTATGTATACCTGGTCGATTTAAACGTAGAGCACAGTAAGATGCAGCAACAGAGCACAGCATCTGCACCAGACCATTATGCTTTGGAGGTTTTTGTGGGCGTTGTCTAGAGGGCGATATTTCTCACAAGACGCAGAAAATGTTGAAGTTGGCCAGATTGTACTTCATCACAAAATACAGTTTAAATGCCAGTCTGGGGGGGGGGGGCATAGGGAAGGACAGATTTTTTAAGGGGCGCAAAACAAACTAACAATTACAAGCTTAGCTGGTGGTACATATTCTTTTGCCAGGTCTACAGCATTTGTCCTACTTTTCAACACTAGAAACGTTCTAAGGCTTCCAAATGGTTATAATTATAACACCTGAAAATGAAAGTAAAAAGGGAGGCAGAGGCTCGTCCGAATAATTACAACTATTGACATTTAATGTAAATATCACATCTATTGCTGAGTATTTGAAACTTAATTAATACGTTTATAAATTACCATGTAGCGTCAAACACGTCGATTCCAAGCAGAATTTTACCTTTTTCATGAACAAATTTTATAAAGAGAGCATGCAGCTGTTATATTCCAAACTATGATGAATTGAAACACGCAAGGAGAATCGCTACTGAACAAATTGGCAGTAGGGTGTTTCCGATGTGGTGCCTTTAGTCAAGAAGTTTTCACTCAGTGACGAACCCTGACAGGTCTAGTTTCGGTTGACTGCATTGCCCTTCGAAGCCAGGTTTGGCGATCTTAACTTTGGGGCGCTGATTGTCGACACAGCACCGTCGTCAGATGGAATTTGTAGTTCACAAGGCCCTTGGGATGCAACCACCGGCAGGCGTGTCAACATCGCGATGTCCTGCTTAGAGTGATTTTGTTGACGAGCGCCAACTCTAACGTGCCTCCGGATGGTCGCGAAAACCTTCCCGTAGCAGATAGCGATTACCACTAACACTGCACAAAAACCCAACAGCAAAGTCACACTTTGATTATCACACTTTTGATCATGAATATTTCAATCACAATAACATGAACCCCAAATACATGACATGCAATTAAAATAAATACGTTAAAAAAGTTAAATCCAATACAGAGATACATATTAGGGACTACAGTTTTGTACTTTAGGAAAATCTATTTTGCAAGGCCTTTAATCAAATACATTTATTTTATACTTATGTTTTGGTAGTATTCATAATATAAAAGTGTGTTCACGCACCAAATAAAAGCAGTTTAGCTCCGCCATCGATGCTTAAGCTCATGCGTGGCACTCACGTACTATTACAATGCAATGCAATGCCTCAATCATGCTGTCGCTATTGATATAGTAGCACACAAGTGAAGGTTACTGTCAGTGTTAGTATACACAAGCCCTAGTTAATTTCGTGGACTTCGCTTGTTTTGACAAAAAACAAGGAAGGATATTTATACCATGCATACGTTAGGCCTAGGCCACCAGCATTTTCTTTGTTTGATGCGTGAGTTTTTCATACGGAGGCACATTTAGGACAGGACTAAAACAAGAAAGGGATCCACTATTTCTTCACGGTGGATTAGTATTCCCCCTTGGCAGATTACTTTTCCGCTCGGGCGAATAAGTAAGGTAAAAAATTAGTTTCTTGTTACTTATGTCCTAAATACACTTCCGTAGTTTCAGATTGATCGGGAAATTTCTTTGCTGCTACTGACTCCGGCGAATGTTTTTGCGGTTGTTGGTGGTGGTGCTGGTGTAGAACGATACGAGAAAGTTTGAGCTGTTCTGCAGAATCACATTTGCTGGATCTCTGCGGCATGAATTATCATGTCATGAAGAGATACAAGTTTGCCATTGCTTTTGTGACACTGACTGAACAACAGGAACCTAGCACAGGGGCAGAATAGGGATATCCGTTAGGGACGTTTCCAAACTTTCGTGCCCTCCGAACTTCCTTCCCAAAAGCCATTTTCACTGCATGCTGTTTGGCAGACAGGAAGGTTTCAATCGCGTTCAGATTTCTGTACTTGGCATATGGACTTCTTTGTTGTCGGCCAAACATCGGTGCCGGCGGGAACAACATTAGAGTGCGCATATTATGACTGATAAAATCATGTTCCTGGTATTATTTCATTGCTGTCTTTTAGCGAGTCTTGCATCTCTGACAACATCTGATATCGGTATGGTTAGACATGTTCTTAAACGTGAAACAAATGGTAAGCTTTTTTAATCTTTTCTAGGGTCTTCCAATGCAGCTTCTCAGATTACAAGATAAGTTGTAAAAAGAAACCCCAAAAAGGGTAAATCTAAACAAGATTTTTCTCTATACTTAAGAAAAAAATCATGTTTGATTGTCGACATTTGTGCACAGATATAAGCCTTGGGCTTGGAGAGTTTGTTAAAGTGAGTCATGAAACATCGGCCACCGTAATGTGCCTTGGATTTTGTAGGCCTATAGCCCTTCTCCAGGAAATCTTAATAGGCAGCGGGAATGAAAGAGGATCACCAACTTTTTCTTTCCAGACTGTTGGAATGAACTCACAGCTAGGCAACACACTGCATCCTTCACCAGCCCTGGGTTTCCCTCCAATTACCCGAACAATGCAGACTGCAATTGGAGGATAACGACTTCACCTGGCAACCGGATCGCCATCAGTTTTGTCTCTTTCGAAGTGGAATACATACAGAGCTGCCGGTGAGGTTTTTATGCTTATTTGCCCCGGAAAATTGTAAATATAGTCCCATGCATTCTTGGAGTATAGCCTAAAACATCTGTTCACATTGAGCTTATCACATAGAAATCTAAGGCTTACAACAAAGGTTATCAACAATGACGTTAGCTTAATAAATTTCATGGAACTGTTAAGTGTGCGTCAGAGATTTTGTTGAACATTGTGACCCAGCAACATTTTTGCGCTGAAAAAATTCACTTGTATACGTACGTTAACCAGTTTTTGCCTTGTATTATCTATAGGTATGATCACCTGACAATCTACGATGGCCCCGATCGTACATTTCCTCAAGCTGCACGTTACTGTGGGCAGGATTTACCGACAGACTTCACTTCCAGTCAGTCAGTTGTCTTGATCACATTTCACACCGACTCGTCGGACACGAGGAGAGGTTTTGAGATCGAGTTTCGCGAAATCACGAATGTTGAAGATACCGTTGGAGAATGGTCAGATGTGACTTACGGCTGCATTGGCGGCACTGGCGACAAAAACGTTGACACTGTCCACTCAGGAAATACAATAGAGTTGTATGGTAATGCCGTGCAGACTGAAGGCGTCCGACTTTGTCAGACCATTGAAGTTACTGGTAAACTTTGGGATCTTTGGAAGTTGGATTGTTTAGTTTGATTGGCATTGCTTGTTGTTGACTACGCTTTTAAAATACATTTTGAGCTTTTAAAGTAGTTAAATATACAAATGTAAGTCTACATTGAAAATGGAGGTTCATAAGTTCCTGCAAGAAAGGTTTGGTTTTTTACGAATGAAAGCATTCTGGAATATGACCTAAATGAATATGGCCTTCCTCAAAGTAGTAATTTTTTTCTAGTTAATTCCAAATAAGGCCCTCTTCAGCGACTCTATGGGATGAAGTAAATTTGTTTTTTTTTCTTCTCGGGGAAAGCTGAAATTGAAGTAGGGACATTAAAATGGGATATTAGAGTAAAGACATTAAAAAGTAAACTGCATCTCCATGCTCCTTTTTGTTTGTCATTGGCATGATTGAGGCTGTCATCAAGAGTGGCATAATGCTCGTCGGGGTAACATCACATCACCTGGATACCCTCATCCGTATCCAAGCAACGCCAAGTGCACCATTGTGATCAATGCTCCACCACGACATGGCATCACTCTGACGTTTCACTCTTTTGATCTGGAGTCGTACTTCTGCGTCTTTGATTACGTGCTGATAAAGGACAGCATCTCAGCAGGTATTCCAGTCGTCATTTTGGACGACAGCAATAGCAATGCAAGAAACCAGCGTGTCTTGCTGGCATAATAGGCCCAAGTCTCCTATTCACTGCAAAAGCACAGTTTGGTAAGAATACGACCGTTTCACAATAGTGCGCCACCAAGAGTTTGCAACGCGTTGGCAAATCACAATGCGCGAAATTTGTCGACCCAATGCGCGTTTGGAAAGGGTCAACAACTTTCGCGCGTTATGATTGGCCAACGTGTTGCAAACTCTTGGTGGCGCACTATTGTGAATCGCCCGTATTATACAGCGCTTGAATGAAGTCTTGTAATTTGATAGTTTAGTCGTCGATCACAACGTCATGTCATCGAATCCACGCCTCGCTGAAATAACCCCTCGTCAAGCGAAATGTTGATGTGGAATCCTTTCAAATAGGCCCCCAGCCCAAGTAAAGACGGTACATTCCTACCAATGAATAGTGTCGGCCTAGTTGTAAGATGTCTATGGCCACCTAGAGTAAAAAAAGACTAGATTAGCAGTGCGTGCATACGCACCGAGAGTACCGAAGTCAATAAGTCATGTACAGAGCATTAGTGCGAGAACCAGCTCATGAACCAACACGCGCGCGTAATCCACTCGTTTGCATCATAGTACCAGCATTGTCGAAATGAGTGCATTGGGCTTAGACTTTGGTTTCGCTGGTTCCGGCTTTTTCAAACAGCGTTTGGAAATACATGGGTAAGTTCTGACTGGAACCAGTGAAACCGAAGTCTAAACAAACCGAATCCACTCTTTTCGAAAACACTCGTAGACATCACTGCTTATGATCTTTGTGGTTTGCTCTGCTTTTCTGGTTCACAGTGACGTCGCACTAATATAATCTAATAAATTCTAATTCATGTGTGCATGCGCACAAATGGCAATTCGAGGCAACAAGCCCTTATGCGGTCCATTGAAAATGTACAGGGGCACAAATTTCAACGTCATTTTCTGTCAGCTTCTGTGCCTTTTCACTTTGCCTTCAAATTTATTTCCATTCATGCGTCATTTTTGACGGCAACTCAAATGGGTGAGCTAACTTTCTCTGGTCAAATTTACCTCAGGTTACCAAAGCATTGAAAAGTTCTAAAATACTTCTTTCGCCATTGTATATCCCGTAGATGCTGAACCTCTAGCAAAGCTCTGTGGCTCTGACCTTCCAGGAGAAATCCAGTCCACCACCGGTGTGCTGGTAGTCAAGTTTGTCTCCGATGCCACCGGTGAAAAAGGAGGGTTCCATGCCTCATTTGTGAGTCACGGTATGTTTAATGTGATTAACTTCTTTTCCATCGGTGGGAGGGGGGTTGCAAGAAAGTTTATAGGGATTATTTTTGCAGGGAGAATTAACTTTAAATATGCAACCTCTCGTATTTTGCAGTGGAAGTTGACTGTTTGTGATGGCCAGCCTTTACACACACTTTAGTGTTGTTTCTTGGCTTTGTCTAAAGGAGCTCATTATTCATACAGCCTGCGTAAGAAGGAGGTTGTGGGTTCAAGTCTCACCCGAATAAACAATTAAATTTTTCTATACGGTGCTGGCTCATTACTGTTATTTAAAGTACGCTGGATCAATTTACTACACAGTTAATCATTGTCAGCGGTTTTCTATTGAAGGATTTCATAGTCCTGGATTATGCCTTTTTGTGCTATTGAAAGCAATCCAACAAAATGACAATATTTGGGAAGTCATTAAAAAGTAGCATATAATATTCATATGACCTAACTGAAAAATGTACGGAATGGAAAGGAATGTGGAGGGTCAAAATTTCGACTCCCAAAATATCGAGCCGGTTTGGCGTGCTGGTCATTATACCATCCGCATAATGTTTTTCCTTCACATACTTCACAACTTGACACCAACGTGCATATGCGCTCATCACTTTGTAGTCTGTATCGAATGAATAGTAAAAATCCACCAGGTAATGTTGTATTGATTGGCCGCAGTTTGCGTTTACAAACGGGCAAGTGGGAACCTTGCCTATCCTGATGTTGCGGCTTATGCATCCGGGTCACAGGCCCAGATCTGGGCCTGTCCCACCCTGCGCCATGCGGCCATAGAGTAAAAATATGAACAAACTTATTGGCCATCGTAAGGGCCGAAAAAGTACAAGTGCAGCTTCTGCAAGAAATTCGTCTAGTATGCAGCCCTCGTGGTGTAAATAAAACAGGTTTTAATTATGTCAAATATGCAAAGTGAAAAGTCTGAAACACTGAGGTTTTGGTTGAATCTGGTATGCACATTTAAAATGGCATTATTTAACTCCCGCCTTTAAACTCTGTTGTCGTTCGACCGAAACTGTTACTAGAAGCACTTATAGTGAGTACAGAAAATTACGACCCGGAAGTAGTGACCACCTATCCAGTTACTGATCAACACTCCGATCAGGATGGCGCGCTGGCGTTTGTCAAAAAGCCCTTCAACTTGACTGATGTACAACTCGGGGATCCGGTGAGGCAAGAGTGCAGTGTCAACCGTGACGATGCTGTCGTCAAGTGGTTCAGGGGAAATGCGGAACTGCCGGAAGGTATGGGGAACGGCAGTGAAATATTTTCTTTAATCGATCTTTTTCGAAGCAAGGTTGCGTTCCATTTCGAGGAAATAACCATGAAATTAGCACCGTACCCCTGTAAGTTTTCAATGGGTCACTCACGCCCTCTGACGTCAAGTCCATATTTTCATGCGTACATAATTATGAATTATCAGTGAAAAGGCCCAATCATCAGCACCAAAAGGGAATCATATTTTGAGGAGTTCTTTACAATCGTGAAAAGAATGGTACCTTGTTCATTCTTTCAAAGAAAACGAGTTCTTGAGAACAGAATCGATTGAGTAGAAACGAAATTCATGTACCTGTGAATCATTTGTTTCCACCTCAATTTATGTAGGCGAATATACACAAGGTGTCATAATTGCCAAGGTACCCCGCGGGAGCATGCTGATTATAGTCAGAGTCGAGGAGGAACACGAGGGAATCTTCGTGTGTCAAGCGCAACTACCAGGCCAGCCACCCATATTGGCACCACTTGTGCTTCAAAGTGAGTTTGATTCGTACATATTGTCTTTACTAGATAGGATGCTGAAAGGATGGTTTAATATTATTGACAACGTCATTGTCGATATCTTCACATATACTGACTGCAACTGACTGGATTTAAAGGTGCAAGACCCTGCACGCGCATCTCATTAATACGGGCGATTCACAATAGTGCGCCACCAAGAGTTCGCAACGCGTTGGCCTATCACAATGCGCGAAATCTGTCGACCCAATGCGCGTTCAGAAAGGTCAACGAATTTCGGGCGTTGGGATTGGCCAACGCGTTGCAAACTCTTGGGGCGCACCATTTTGAATCGCCCGTATTGTTGTCTGATAGTAATGCTGTCTTAAGAACTTAATACAATGCAGATCAACCTTTCATTCCCGCAAAAACATCTGATCTGCACTACATTTTTACAACTGCTGATGTGAGAAGTAATGACGTACAGACGAATTACCACTTACAGCTTTAAGAGCAAGTTGACAAAGAGGTCGATTTTTAACCGTGAGACACTAAAGAGGCCCATGTTGCTCGAGGTACATTTGTGGCTAGATTTAAGTCTGTTAATTGTTGTCTGGACTTGTGGAGTCTCAATTTTTTGTAATGCTTGTTTGCAGTAGTTCTAAATCATTCATTCCCTTCAGAAACGTCTCTACTGGCAGTAACCGAGGAACCTTTTGCCGTGAGCTACGCGTCGACGACCGATGTCAACGGTTTAGACGAGAGATTCGAGACTGTGCCACAGGACGCTTCTGTCATCGACGGTGCCTATCACGTCTTCGAATGCTCCTACCCAGGCAGCCTTTACATCATCTGGCAGAAGGATGGCCAGACTTTGTTTACCAATGAGAGAATATTCAAAGTCTTTCCAGATAACCTCATGATCAGTGACACCAGGGTGACCGACAGCGGCAGGTACTTCTGTGTGGCGTACGACGAAAATGACGTCAAACTCGGCACAGTCTTTGCCCAATTGATTGTCCTGTCAAGCTTGGATGTATCAGATGGTGAGTTTATTTGCAGTCATGTCATAGACATTAGTTAGGTTCCATCATTCCTGTCGGGTGAAAAAATATCTGTTCGTTTTTATTATGGCTGTTAATGGCACAGTGAAATACTGACTGACGGTCCTGTGTGCCTACCCTCAAAAGATTTTGCGTGTA